TGCCGCTGGCATTAAATCCATTGTCAACCTTAACCTCTCTCCCATAGTACCTGAAACTACGAATTGTTATGTGAAGAAAGATCCTCCTGCTGGCTACACTTGTGCATCTGATGGGACTCTAGTGGTTTCGGAACACTTGCATGACTTTGAAAGGGTACTGCAAGCCGTCAAGACTATGTCCTCCGCTCCTGCTGGCAACACCAGAAACAAGAAGTCTAAAAAGTGACCTCCTGGGCCGTACTTGCTTTTCTTTTTTTCGCCTAAATGTGGCTTTGAGGAGGGGGTACTGTCAGGATTTGAACCTGACGGTTCTGGTGCTGTTACCTCTGAGCCACCTCTCAGCTTTACTATTGCCTCTATCTAGCCCTATCTAGTATCTAGCACTGGGGGCTGGACACTTAGTGGAATTACTCCTGCCACTCATGTTACACCTGAAGTTGATGTCTCGTTAGCCAGGTATATAACACTGCCTCTCCCAGAAGGCAGTGTCAGTTCCTTGACTCTGGTGATCATACTGCTGTTTTGTGTTCTCCAGTTTACTCTTGACCTTGGCTTGTTACTCCGAATATCCGGACTTCTGGCATCCTCTGACCTCTGCTTTCTTCTCGTTAATCCTGATTTCTGGCACCCTCTGGCTTACCCACGACGATTCTCCTGCTTTATCCGTTCCTGTACTGCGACTTGGAGAATTATCCTGCATCCCTGTGCACCGACTCACAGGCCAGGTGAATTCTTACCTGACCAGCTCGGCCTGTGTTTACTTGCAAGGGTGAGCATATACCTCTGCCTGCCAGACTCCCAACTCAGGTAAGCCCTGACAAGCCCGCAGTTCGGAGCGCCGATTCGTACGTTCCCAAGAATCAAAGTGCAGCATAATAGTAAATCTAGTGGTTCGTCAGTCGCATACCCAAACATCAGCCTAGACTAGATGAAGGGTACAACAGGAATAATTTTATCCAGGCCAGATGTCCGGCTTTTATGCGATTCAGGAGTACAGTGTATACGAGTCAGCATGACTCTGTATAAAATACAAAATATTAAAAATACATAATAATACACACAAAACATATAGAAACCCCCATAAATGTCATATCCCCGAATAGCCTGTAACTGAGCAACCAAGTTGTCCAAGTGGCGCTCGAACACAGCCGAATCGCCACTGGGGTAAAATTTGGACAGACCGCTCACGAGGTGGTCAGTTTTGGGAGTTCCAAACCGAACAAAACAACGGACGGTTCCCCTGCTTCATAAGTAGGGTATGTTCGCCTTGTTCGTGGGAACAGACCTACCGAACAACGCTCTCCTGGCTTGTCTCTGAAAAGAAGCAGGTGTTCGCAAAGTTGACTGGTGTTTGCGAAATCGAATGTCTGACTTGGAGTTCCAGACACTCGACCATCAAGTCCCACTACCTCTTTTCGTGCGACACAGGGAGAGCACTAATTCCTGCGGTTTTCTTTATACTGAGCCAGGGGGTGGTTGGTGTTCGGTAGATTTAATTTTGGGAACCAAAGTATGTAGTTTTGTTACAGCAGCATTGTAATTGCAATTGGATGAACTTCAACTATTACATTCATTTTCAGCATCTCTTCACTCAAGTATGCCTTTTACAGTGTATTCAATAAAGTAGCATAATAAATGTTAAAAGCATGACTGATCCTCACACGCTGCAAATGTCTAGTGGAATCCTACTTCTCAGCCACAGTGATATTATCACATTGCTCTAGCAGGTGCAGTTTAAATTTGTAGGTGTCTATAATTAAAATAGTTAAAAATAAAAGTGTTACAGAAGCAGAATTGTAGCAAGGAAAAAAATACCGTTGCAGCATTTTGCCTGTTGGCTTAAAAAAAATTATTGGAAAAGGGAAACCAATTGTGGTGTAGATAAATATCCAATAAACTTTTATTATTATACAAAATACTTATACTATCAATTAATAATCTGATTTCTTGGAAGGGCAGTAGAAAATGTAAAAAAAAAAAAGAAAAAAAAGGTCCCTGTCATTTGTTTTAGAAATAATGGCTTCCATTTAATATATGTAGCTAAGTTTTTAATGTGATTTAATATTTTGAATAAACTGTGTGTGTGTGTGTGTATATGTATATATATATATATATATATATATATATATGTTTTTGTTTTTTTGTTTTTTGTTTTTTTTATTCATGATATTTTTGATATTTTCATATTTTGCAAAAATAATGTTAAAAGTTTACCCAAATATAGGGGACCTAGAATAAAGGGGACCAATATAGCGTACTCAAGAATATAAGTATTACTCCATGTCCCTAACTTCACACCCTCTCCCTTCCCATTCCCATTGCTTCTCCCTCTCCATTCCCATTGTTGAAACAAGCATCTAATGTCAGCATCTCAACAGAGCACGAGTTGATGTACTGTACTTGTAACATTGTCTGTATCATATAGATGTAAACAAACGCATGTGAACTGTGTAACATTCTCTTATGGCATATATTGTTATAACTGTTCATATCTTGCTTACTATGTGTTTTAGCCTGTAAATTCAAACCAAGGATGCTCAATAAACTTCAAATTGGAAAAAAAAATGTAAAAAATCAAATAATACCATCAGTACAAAAATAATGTAAAGGACTACGCCTGGTCAAAAAACAGAAAAATTTCCAAAACGTTGAAAAAAACATGCTTATGGGTCTGGAACCACAAAAGACACCTATACCAGGGTCCCAAGGATAGAAAGTTTAAAGGGATCAGGGCCCGAAGTCATAACACTACGTCTGTTGAGCATGCACGCCTGCATCAACTCCTTTGGTTAGATTTCCAACTACCTTTCTTATGATTTCCAAAGTATAGTCTACTACATGCAATGCTAGACTTGTGCAGGATGTGTGCTCAAACACTTGTACAACACACACTGGAATGAATACACATAAAAAAATTAGGATTTTCTTTCTCTAAGCAGTTAACAAAAAAACATTTTTGTAACTGTATAATGCTAACCTTAGGATCACTGACAAATTGGCAATCTCATTTATCCTATTCAAAATATATTTAACTAGCTAATTACAGTAGCAATCTAAGCATAGTCTCACACTAAAATCAATGACCCCAGCTATCTTCCTGTACCACACAGACACAGCAAAAGTAAAACACATTGTATCACTGCTGGTCTGTCTCCCTCAGTAGCGGCAGTCAAAGTGTCTGGAAAATCCTGATTGGAAGCATAGATTGCCCCCCCCCGATCAATCAGTTGTCACTTGATCTGTGAATAGAATCAACGCTGACTGGCTGCCCCCTAACTGTCAATAACCTTTTTCTGCTACCTCTTGACTAGACAGGAGATACAGCACACATGATTAGCAGACCTCTTGTCCATCATGGCAAACTAAATTGCTTATTTGCATGTCACTAGAGCTGAGCAAACCCGGACTGTAAAGTTCGGGTTCGTACCGAACATTACGTTTTTTGGACCCCGGACCCGAACACTGACATATCAGCGTATGTTCGGGTTGGAGTTCGGTGTTCTGCGATTTAATGGCGCGTTTTCAAAGGCTGCAGGGCAGCCAATCAACAAGTGTTTGACTCGTTTGCCCTTAGAAGCCATCACAGCCATGCCTACTCATGGCATGGCTGTGATTAGCCAGTGCAGCATGTGACCCAGCCTCTATATATAAGCTGGAGTCACGTAGCGCCGCACGCACATGAGCTCTTATTAGTGTAGGGAGAGGATGCTGCCGCTTTCAGGGACAGATTAGGAAAGAATTCTGCAAACTAGTACATTAGTGGGGTGCACTTCATATTTGAGAGTCAAATAGAAGCGTCAAATACTGCGGTTACAGCGCAATTGTAAACATTCTTATTTTCTGGGTGCTAATCTGCTAAATAGTAAATTTGGGGTGTGATATTCATATCTGAGAGTCAAATAGAACCGTCAGATAGTGCTGTGACATAGCAGTTTTAAACATTCAAATTTTTTGGCTGCTAAATAGTACATTTGCGTCCTGCGGTGCACTTCATATCTGAGAGTCTCATATCTGAGAGTCAAATAGAACCGTCAAATATTGTGCTTACATTGCAGTTGTGAAAATTCTAATTCTTTAGGTGCTAAAAAGTCAATTTGGTGCCTGCACTTCATATCTGAGAGTCAAATAGAACCGTCAAATACTGTGGTTACAGCGCAGTTTGACCAATTTGACCAATTTTTTTGGGTGCTAAATAGTACATTTGCGGCCTGCACTTCATATCTGACAGTCAAATAGAACCGTCAAATACCAATATAACAATATTGTAATTCGGGGGCAATACCCTCACAAGTCAAACTGAGAGGTCAGTTTATAGGGAAAACTGTTGCCTGGATACAATTCTAAAACAATTCCCATATGTCCTTTGCAGAGTTTACATGCTGGAAAAACACAGGTGCCAACTGCTGTGGTTTTATGCAGTGTGCAGACCGGCAAGGAGGGCATGGTTGAGGAGTGGGTGGAAGATGATGTGGAGGATGATGAGGTCCTAGACCCCACATGGAATCAAGGTCGTGCGCGTGACGTGTGCAGTTTGGAGGAAGAGGCGCTGGTCGCACAGAGGCACCAGCACCGCATAAAAGGGAGCAGGGTGCAAAAGCAGAGTGGCCGTCCCCTAGCGCTCGTCGGCATGTATTATATTTAGAATTCCCACAGTTAACCAAGTAACAGATGGAGCGATTAAAGGAACCATAACAGATTTAACGAGCCATTCGCAGTTTCACAGTCTGGTGACCGGGACCCAGACACTAAGTTATGTACTATCTTATCTTATGTACTAAGATATATAACAGGGTTGATGTTCCAGCAGGGATAAGCCAAATGGCAAATGATTTAGGTAAACTAGAAAAATGGTCAGAGTTGTGGCAACCGACATTTAATGTGGATAAGTGCAAGATAATGCATCTTGGACGTAAAAACCCAAGGGCAGAGCACAGAATATTTGATAGAGTCGTAACCTCAACATCTGAGGAAAGGGATTTAGGGGTGATTATTTCTGATGACTTAAAGGTAGGCAGACAATGTAATAGAACAGCAGGAAATGCTAGCAGAATGCTTGGTTGTATAGGGAGAGGTATTAGCAGTAGAAAGAGGGAAGTGCTCATGCCATTGTACAGAACACTGGTGAGACCTCACTTGGAGTATTGTACGCAGTACTGGAGACCGTATCTTCAGAAGGATATTGATACCTTAGAGAGAGTTCAGAGAAGGGCTACTAAACTGGTTCATGGATTGCAGGATAAAACTTACCAGGAAAGGTTAAAGGATCTTAACATGTATAGCTTGGAGGAAAGACGAGACAGGGGGGATAGAAACATTTAAATACATAAAGGGAATCAGGGCCGGACTGGGAATGAAAAGCAGCCCTGGAAAAAAATTCCATACCAGCCCCATAATACATCACGCCAGCATAGTGCGCAGATATGGAAGCGGGAAAAAAACTGAAAACTAGCACTCAAACATGAAAGAAAGCACTTATAGGGCTTCAAAATAAAGCAGAGCAGATTTATTGTAAGCAGACACAGACGTGCATTTGCATATAATCCAGTAGCCCCCACATATGTCCTATTAGCCCTCTCTCCCAGTCCTCCATGTGTCCCTATGCCCCCTCTCAACCTTCCATGTGTCTAGGGTGACGAGATTTAGAAAATATAAAAATTGGACACCCATTAGCGATACAAAAATCGCTAAAAAAAACCAAAACAAAACAGAGAAATACATAAGTTTTTAATCTCTTCTTGGCCAGAAGTGGCTGTTACTGTTCATCCCCTTCCTGATACTCAAATGAGTGTCTTTTCATTTACATTTTGTAGGAGCATGATCATCAGAGCACACACATACCCTAGACCATGGCCATCGTAACAGCATAATAGTCCACTGGGCAAACCAATGCACTGGGGCCATGACTATGCAACCACTCAAAGAAATAAAAATATAAATTATCAATAAAATTAGGCTTATATTTACCTCCAACAAATACAGTACTTACACACAGAGACAGACTGCTAAATACACACAAACCGCAAAAAACACACACAGACTGCTGAATATATACACTGGCTGCTGAATACACACATATAGAGACTGCGGAATATACACACAGATTGGTGATTACACGCGCACAGACTGGTGAACGTGCACAGACTGGTGAATACATGCACACACACAGACTACAGTGAGGGGTGCAGTGTGTGTGTTCAGTGTGTGGGGAGTGCATTGTGTGTAGGGGTTCAGTGTGTGGGGGGGTGCGGTGTGTATTTGGAGGGGGTGCCGTTTGTGTGTCGAGGGGTTCTGTGTGTGTGTGGAGGGGTTCTGTGTGCGTGGAGGGGTTCTGTGTGTATGTGGAGGGGTTCTGTGTGCGTGGAGGGGTTCTGTGTGTATGTGGAGGGGTTCTGTGTGTATGTGGAGGGGTTCTGTGTGCGTGGAGGGGTTCTGTGAGCGTGGAGGGGTTCTGTGTGTGCGTGGAGGGTTGTGTGCGTGGAGGGGTTCTGTGTGCATGGAGGGTTCTGTGTGCGTGGAGGGTTCTGTGGCGTGGAGGGTTCTGTGTGCGTGGAGGGTTCTGTGGCGTGGAGGGGTTCTATTGTGTGCTTGGAGGGGTTCTACATGTGTGGAGGTTGTGGTGGGGAAGGGTACTGTTGGGTGGGGGAAGGGTGCTTTTTGGTGGGAAGGTGCTATTGGTGGGGGAGGGGTGCTGTGTGCTTGGAGAGGTGCTACAATGTCTTGTGGAGGGGTTATGTGCTGGAGGGTTCTGTATGGGGAAGTTGGCTAGGAGGGGTTTCTGTGTGCGTGGAGGTTCTGTTGGTTGGGGAAGGTGCATTGGTGGGGGGAGGGGTGCTGTTGGGTAGGGGGCTGTTGGTGGGGGGTGAGGGTGCTGTTGGTGGGGGGAGGTGCTGTTGGTGGGGGTGCTGTTGGTGGGGGGTGCTGTTGTGGGGAGAGGGAGAGGGTGCTGTGTGCGGAGGTTCTGTGGCGTGGAGGGTTGTGATGGGGGAGGGTTCCTGTGAGAGCATGGAGGTTCTGTATGGTGGAGAGTTCTGTTGGTTGGGGGGGAAGGGTGCTGTTGGTGGGAGGGTGCTGTGGTGGGGGAGGGGTGCTGTTGGTGGGGGAGCTGTTGGTGTGGGGGGTGGGGTTGCTGTGGTGGGGGTGCTGGTATTGGGTGGGGGGTGGGTGCTGTCACGTGGAGGGTTCTGTGTCTTGGCGGAGGGTTCTGGTGGAGGTTCTGTGTGCGAGGAGGGGTTCTGTGTGCGTGGAGGGGTTCTGTTGGTTGGGGGGGAAGGGTGCTGTTGGGGGGGAGGGGTGCTGTTGGTGGGGGGAGAGGTGCTATTGGTGGGGGGGAGGGGTGCTGTTGGTGGGGGAGAGGGTGCTGTTTATGGGGTTATTGCATGTTTTGGGGTCCCTGTAATATGTTTTATAATACTGTATTTCTCTGCCTGTGATAATTATATTAACCATTGTGTTCAGTAATCATATCACAGACAGAGGGGAGGATTTTGTGTGGGAGTGTCTGTGTGTATTGTACGGATTGATTGGTTGTATTTCAAAACCCTGTGGGCAGTACTATGTTTGTAGAATGTGAATAAAAGAGGCTGTATGTGCCAGATCATGCCCCTGCAGTCTCACTGCTCAATTCTCTGCCATTTAGGGGTTAATTCACTTTGTTTATACAGTACTTTGCACACCTCCCTGCATGTGACCTACACAGCCTTCCTAAACACTTTCTATAAAGAGTCATCTAAAGTTTACCTGGAGGTTCTGTGCGACCCCTAAATTTTGAATGCGGCTCCCTGACCCTCGCAAATCCTATTGAAAATCCCAGAAATCACACACCGAATCTGACATACAGTGTGTGTGTGTGTGTGTGTGATTTCCCTGCAGGAGCCTCCTGTGTGTGATTAAAGTTCAATTTACAGAGCAGGAGATGACAAACTTTTAAAGTAAGTTGCATCTGATTAAAAATTAAACTATTTTGAGAGGCGGAGCTTGACACTCGAACAGCTCAGACACCATTCTCATGAGCTCCCGCAAATTGGTTACAAATCTGCCAAAACTCATTATTGGGCTAGAGACAACATACCTTTACTCCCCGAAGAAGCGGGCTACCAGCACATGCCTTTCTTGTACAACCAGACAGCCAGGAGAACTCACCGACGATCGGTGTCCTATCCTGCCCTCCCGTCTGCTAAGGCCTTCAGCTCGACTGGGCGCCTGCCCTGGAGGCATTGGGCCGACCTCAGCTGCCTGTCATGAACCACCCACACAGCACGGACACAATGGACCGGCGCTCCCAAAATCCACAATTGGGTGGGAAAAAAGACACCCGTGATATTGGGGCCCTTCTACAATGCTCTACGACCCAGAGAGTCCCAACCACTCCAGGTGCAGAGTTCTACTCCACATGCTCTGATTTACCACTGGAGACACTGGCAGAACCCACACCACCCCCGCCACTCTCCGCAACACTGTCCGATGGAGGTGTGTGGAATCTTGCTACTAAAGAAGATATAATGTTGGAGATGAGACAGATGTTTGCAGCTGATGTGGACCTTCTACGGACCAAAGCTCAGGCGGTGACAGGCCAAATACAGGCCTCCGAGGAGGATGTCACGGACATGAGATAGGAGGTACAGGGACTCAAAGAATCTATACTCCAACTACAAACTCCAACTATACTCCCACGCTATGATGCTCACTTGGCTACATATTGCAGAAAATCGCAACCGCAGAGTTAATAAAAAGATTAGATGTGTCCCTGATGATAAAAGCCCAGCAGACCTACCCTACTACCTCCGAAGCCTGTTAACCACAATCTTGCCACACGCACAGGCCAAAAAGCTAACGTTTGATAACTGCTTTTCGGGTCAGCAAGCCTACACAGGCACCTTCTACCACTACCTAAGACGTGATCATTCGCTGCCATTCAATCTCTGACAAGAACCGAATAATGACAGTGATGAGAAACAAAACCCCGCTCGACTTCGAGTCCTTCCGACTCACATTCTTCCAAGACTTAACCAGGAACTTGCTGCAATGGAAAAGGTCCTATGGACCGATCAACACAGCTGGAGTGAAGTATAAATGGGGCATACCTAGGTATCTGAATGTGTGTAAAAATGGCGCCACACTCAAACTCACCTCCCTGACCGAAGCTGCCTAGTTTCTGCAATCACTGGGACACACCGCAATCGTCAACTATGGCGGAACCCTCCAGGCTGCACGTGTGGGACCCTGCAAAGACTATCCCGTTCACACCACATACAGGAGAAAGGCTAGGGGCACCCAACTGTATTATGCCCCAACAATGTGGCATTTCCCAAGTTCTACCATTCTAAAGTGCAATTATGTTTTTTGTTTTTTTTCCTTTTCTTTGTCTCACTCGTATTTATGACTTCAGGCTGATACATGAGCTGAAATAGTGGCTTAGAGGCTCAAATCTCCTGTTGGGCACTTCTGGGTCAACCAGTTCTGGCTGTCTGGATCCCACGCAGAGAACTGTGACACTGGTTGACTTGTGAGTAGTGTGAGTGTGAGTATAGAAGATGATGGGCGCTGGGTTGGGAGAGACATCCCTAGCTGCGAGAAGCAGGAGGAGAGATAGAGACAGAAGGTGTAAGTGGGTTTTATATGGATTAAGTCTGGGATGAGATTGAGTCGGAGAAGGATGGAGAGAATAGAGAAAAGAGTGCAGGGCATGAGATGAAAGAAGTGGGGAGTGCAGCATAGAGGTGTTAATGTGGAAGTTGTTGGGAGGTTGAGGGAAGTAGGTGTAAGGAAAGAATTTTTATACTGAGGGAGAAAAGGGAAAATAAGAGGAAGATAGAGCATTACTTAGATGGGTATGCACTTCCAGAAAAAACTTGGAAGTTGTAGTAGGCCAGGGGACACACAGAGAGGAGATGCAGTGCCAAAGTGTAACAGACAGAGGTGAGGAGGAAAACAAGTGAGTGTTGGGGGTTAAGAGAGTATAGGAGTGTGCTGATTATTTGATTTGCAGCTGTTATTTCTGATTATCTAGATTTGTGGGTGAGAATCTATCTATAAATTAAATAATGAGAATAGGGTGGGGTGGTGAAGGGAGACGTGGGTGGGCAAATGTGCAGCATTAAATGTTGTCTAGAAGGCTACCTTACCTATTGCAACTGGATCAGCTGAAGTTGGACTGAGTGCTGTTCTGATGTGAGGCAGGGAAGTTTAACGTCAGACTGTGGGAGAGATAGGCAAGAGTGTCAAATGGGCCTGCAATAAAACTAGGGAATAGGAAGATTCACAGATGATAAATATATAAATAAATATTTTGAAACCATTTTATT